GTTGACTATTGTTATGTCAATGTGTTCAGAGGCCAACCCTGATCACACAAGTGAAATTTCAATCAGATCAGACAAAGTATATAAGATGTAGTACTTAGTCATTACAGTAGGGGGCACTATGGTTGAAGCTGACTATAGTTAGGTTAAAGTGTTCAGAGTCCAACCCTGATCATACTTGTGAAATTTTAAGCAGATCAGACAAAGTATTTGAGATGCAGTACCGCCTCTTTCCAGTAGGGGGCGCTATGTTAATGGCATAATTCGTGCTCGGGCCCTATTAATCATTTGGGTTCCAAGAGGGTCCTACGCACTTGTCAGTGCTTCGGGCCCTAAAAATAATAATCACTAGGGTTTCCCTGATTATACCAGTGAAATTTGGAGCAAATTTGACAAAGTATATCAATCATCAATCAAACTTTACTTATATAGCACCTTTCAGACAAATTAAATTGCAGTTCAAAGTGCTTAACAAGAGTGCAGAAAAGTTATTGACAAAAAGTAGTTAATAAAATCATTGAGAGACCAATGCACACCAATAAGAATTAAAAATAAAAATATGTATAAAAATAAAATACAATAAAATACGACATATAAAAGCAACAAGATATTAAAATAAATATATAAGAGGAAAATATTTAAAATTATAGTAGGATAAAAAGACAATACAGTAATGTTAAGATTTGAATTTATATAAAACACTATATAAAAGCCAGACTGAATAAATCAGTTTTAAGACTGCGTTTCAAAATCTCGATATTCTGGGCTCCTCTCAGACCCTCAGGAAGGTCGTTGTGATATGAGATGTAGTACAGTGTCTTTCCAGTATGGGGCGCTATGTCAGTGGCCCAATTGTATTAGGTTAGATGTGAGCAGGCAGTACTGAGATCATTCAAGTGAAATTTGAATAAAATGTGAAATTTTATATGGGAAGTAATACTTAGTCTTGCAGTAGGGGCGCTTTGGTTGAAGTTGACTATTGTTATGACAATGTGTTCAGAGGCCAACCCTGATCATACATGTGAAATTTCAATCAGATCAGACAAAGTATATCGATGTAGTACTTAGTCCTTGCATTAGGACGCTATGGTTGAAGTTGACTAATGTTATGTCATTGTGTTCAGAGGCCAACCCTGAACATACCTGAGAAATTTTAAGCAGATCTGAGAAAGTATATATGATGTAGTACTTAGTCCTTGCATTAGGGGCACTATGGTTAAAGTTGAATATTGTTATGTCAATGTGTTCAGAGGCCAACCCTGATCATACCTATGTAATTTCAAGGAGATGAGACAAAGTATATCAGAGTTACAGCCACTTCCTGTTTGATGGTGATGTGATGTGTGGACTTCCTGTTGAGTTTTTTTTGTAGGTTTTGTCATGTTGGAAATGCATAGTGAAATTCAGAATTGTAGGTTCAACGTGCTGCGGGGGCTGAATGTTTTAAATATTGTAGGGGTGCCACTAAGCCATTAAGCCACGCCCACTCACTTAAACGGTATAAGATGTTTGACTTACTACCAGGATCATATGTATGAAGTTTCGGGACAGTACGACTATGTTAAGCCCGTGAAAAAACTACTTCCTGTTTGATGGCAAGCGACGCGTCTGTATGGCCACAGCGTTGGACGTAGGCATTTGAGCTTGAAAGGGTTTTATGGCCAAGGTGTTAGCACGGTGCACACCAATTTTGAGGAAAATTAGCTACCGTGTAGCGATGGCTAATGCTAATTGTGAAGCAGTAACTTCCTGTTGTGAACAGGTGGCGCTGTGACTAATTAAAAAATGTCAATCATGGATGTGTTCAGGCGGGTCCCGTATCATGCTTGAGAAATTGTAATATGATTGAACACTAGATGTCAGAGATATAAGCATTAACTTTGGCAACTTGCCAAAACGCTCCAAAAACTTAAAATGCACGCCACGCCCACACCCTTTGACGAAATAACGTGCAGCGCACAACGAGATATGATGAGCCTGTCTAGAACGCACTGACACTGAGTTTGCATCGATCGGATGAGCGCCCTCGGACAAGTGCATTCAAATAGGAAGGCTGAAATTTGCGATTTTGAGCGATTTTGGGCCGTTATCGTTAAATTCGACTTTAATTTGTGGACTTCCTGTTGGGTTTTTTTGAAACGCTGCAAGAGGATTTTTAGTCCTGACAAGCTTAATATGCGTACCAATTTTCGTGAGTGAAAAAACCCTTAATGGGGAGGCCATTTTGAAAATTTCAAGGGGCGCCACTGAGCCATTTTGCGAACTCCGTTTACGAAACCACCAAAATATCAAATTTTTCACGAGGCCTGATGACCATGGAAAGTTTGTTGAGTTTTCAGGCACGTTCAGCCCCTCAAAAGTGGCCGCAAAGTGGCAGATGAAAAATAATAAAAATAATAATCGCTAGGGTTTCAAAAGGGTCCTCGCACAGTTTGTGCTCGGGCCCTAATTACAAAGAAAAATTTGGTTATCAGAAAACATCAGCATTAAACAGGGCCTCTCTTTTATTCCCTTAATCTTAAGAATGAAGTGTCATACATTGCGCAGGAGGTGCGCACTGCGTCCTCTGTGGACCGGCGCTCTACACTCGCTGTTGTTGCGCACCAGACAGCTGGCCAGCGCTGTGTCTGATCGGACATAATGCCCTGGAAAAAGGTATCGAAGACGGGGGTACAAACAGTGGTGAGGTACCCCAATCCAAGCGTCCTACAGAGTAGCAGCAGCGGGCTTTAGAGGGAGGTGACGAGTGCACTAAAGGAAAGGAGCGCAAGCTGGGTAGAGACACACGACCAAGAAAAAGGAAATCCCCAGTTTAAAATGTAATGTTGGTGAAAAGAGGGAAATAGGAAGAAATAAATGTCAATGTTGAAATTCTATAGAATTCAGAGGCTGTGAATGTTCAGTTTTTTTTGGCTGTAGGCTATGGCAACAATAGCCTGTAGTTTAATCATGGTGTTTCTCTTGCTTAACGATTAGAATATTGAATCAAATTAAAAAATGAATGCATGCCATTTATTTTTCTGTGTTGCTACTTCACATTAACTTTAAATCCCCTTTGATGTTTAGGTCAATATGAATGTAGGCTGAAGTCAGAAAATGGCAAGAAAGTCTTCAGAGAGAGATCCAATCAAAGCTTCACACTCCAAGAGCAACCTCTGATACGACTGACGCCGCTCAGCAGACAAATCCATTGTGAGGTCATAAGAGAAGTGAAACTAGAGTGCTCTGTCAACGAACCCTACACTGTTGAGTTGTACTCAGTACTCAGTACTCAAAACTTTGAAGGTAAGCCTGAATCAAACAAACACCAAAAGGCTAATCTTTTATATTTTATATTCATATTAATAAATACAATTTTTGCAGTCTTAGGCACAGGTAATTCTATCAGCTACCCGTTTCTCATCCCCATCTGTGAAAAAACGAAACATACATTCACCTGTCAAGTGTCCGGCCGCAAAGAATTAAAACGAACTACGCTGGAGATAACTACAGGAGGTAAGTGTTGATTAAAGGGAATGAAATACAGATCAGATCAAAATATTTTTCTTCCCTTGAAAGTAATGTTGTTTCATTCATTTCTTTGTTCCTAGATCCTGTTTGTGAAGATGTTGTATTTGGTACTGGAAATCTTGGCCAGATGGCCGTCGGTTCCTGTGAACGTGACGAGGTGGGAGAGAGGAAAGGAGTTTGTCAGGAAGATGGATCATGGAGAGAAGTTGAAAACAACTGTATCCTAGGACCGGTTCAGGAGCTGCTCCTGCAGTCTGAGGTGAGGAATTTACCAGCACATGCTGACACAACATATTTTTAATAATAATAATTTGGGGGCCTCAAGCAAACTCCTTGCTGCTCCAGCCTTTGTCACAAAAATCAGGCTACTGGTAACTTTTTCTTTTCTAAAACTATTATTGTAGAACCACAACGACGTCTGAGCTTCAACTGTATTATCTTTGTCTTTGCATTAATTTAGGACAACCTGTTCTATGACATTACAATTAAATTACAATAAAGAATGAAGGCTTCATCTAATAATTGTGTTATTAGTCGACATCATAGACTGTATAAAGATTATTATTAATTTACAGTTTACACTAATATGAGTGTAAGAAGAATCTACATAAAGATTTTTACAGAATGGAGACCGCTAGGGTGCGCAGGGATGTAGGACGCGTTTCTCCGCTGCTCCTGGGAATGTGACTTACTTTTAAAAACTTTTGGCAATATCCTGGTCATTTATAGTTCCAATACACAGAGTATATATTTACAAGTACTGTAGGTGACTTTTGTCAACCAAAACGACCAAAATGTCTTCTGCTCGTCAAAAATCGAGCCGGCAAGAGCGCAGCAAAACATCGCCCTGTCCTGAATCGGCTGCTCAACAGGTTGTTGATTCTAGTGCTAACGCTCTCTATGCCGAACTTCTGAAATCCATGATGGACTCCCTTAAAGCTGATATTTTCGGAAAACTCTCCGACTGTCATGCAGTCCGAGATTACCTCTGTTCGTAAAGAGCTGAAAGAGTCGATAGAACCACTGAAAAAAAAAGTAGAGCAACATGGGCTAACCATGCTAGAGCTCGAGCAAGGAACTACTGACCATAGTTGCCGTATAACGGAGCTGGAGGCTACTGTTAGCAAGCTAACAGCTAAAGTTGGGCATCTGGATGATCGATGTGAGGACCTTGAGGGGAGATCCAGGAGAAACAATATCTGGCTTGTGGGTTTACCGGAGGGATCGGAGGGGCCCCGTGCTACTGAATTCATTGCCCAACTTCTAGAAGAACTACTTCACCTGGATGAAAAGCCGCTGCTGGATTGTGCCCATTGGATGCTGCAGGACAAGCCTAAAGAGGGAGCTTCACCCCGACCATTTGTGGTGAGAGTGTACTACTTTCACCTTCGCAACGAGATTCTTCGCCGAGCTGGGGAACTCTCCCCTCTCCTTTATCGAGACAGGAAGATTTCCATCTTTGCTGACTACACTTCCACTGTCGCTAAAAAGAGGGCTACCTTTGGAAATGTTAAGTGGCTACTCCACTCATGCCTGGGCATCAAGTTTGGGCTGCTATTCCCGGCTACACTCAGAATAACACTGCCGAGCGGAGACACACTTCGGTTTGAGGACCCAGCCTCTGCAAACGACTATCTCAACAAGCACCTCAAGAAAGCTGTCACCCCAGGTGATGTTTGAAGAGACATAGCTTATGTGAGTTTATGCTGCTGGTTAACTGTGCCTTCATTCATTTGTTTACATTGACTTGGACTACATTTCCCAGTAAGGCATTGCTGCACAGCGCGCTACAGGGTGACTCGGTTAGCTGTCATTTACGGCTATGTTTCTCTTTTTTTCTCTATAGATACTCTGTTTATACTATACGTGTTCATGTTTGACTACGTCACTTTTCTCCCTCAGGTAGCTGTGCGTTATAGCTTATATATAGCGATGGCTACGATGGAGCGTTTAGCACGTCTTATAAGGGTTATTGCACGTGTCTCGTTTGGGGAGACACTTCTGCCAGGGTGGGTGGGGGCAACGTGGTTAGTTTACCACAAGGGAATGTTCTGTTTTGTGTTCTTTGTCGGTTTTGTGGTGGTTCTGCTTGGTCGACATATGCAAAATATATACACTAAATATTGGTTTTGTATCTTCACATCACTTTTTTTTCTCCAGTCCTTGCTTCTCATGACATTGCCATAGCTTTGCCCAAATTATCACAGCAGGATAGGGGCGGGATAAAATTTTGCAGCTGGAACTGCAGGGGTTTAAATAATCCCATTAAGCGCAGCAAGGTCCTGCACCATCTTCAGCACCTGGGTACCCAGATAATTTCTTTTTACAAGAGACTCATCTTAAAGTATCTGATCATTTCAGACTAAAAAGTAGCTGGATTGGCCAGACTTATCATTCTTCATTTCCCAGTAAATCCAGAGGAGTAGCCATTATGTTCCACAAATCTGTTCCCTTTAAAGTTATTGCGGACACAAATGGGAGATACATAATTGTTAGTGGCAAAATTCACAAAACACATATGATTTTTGTTAATCTTTATGGTCCCAATTGGGATGATGACAGCTTTTTTAAAACACTGTTCTCCATTCTATCAGACATATCCTCACATTTTCTTATTGTTGGAGGAGATTTCAATTGTTGGCTTGATCCGAAAATGGATCGCTCCTCTACCCGAAATTGCACCTCCTCGAAGTCCGTTAAGTTTTATAAAGAACACTTTGCCATATCTGACCCCTGGCGTTTTTTTAACCCTTCTGGTAGAGAGTACTCATTTTTCTCTAATGTGCATCATACCTTTACTTTTATTGATTATTTTCTCGTTGATAATAGAATCCTGTCATCTGTAAAATCTGTTTCATATAATGCAATAGTCATATCCGACCATGCCACAGTCACTATGGACATAAAACTTGAAGGATTTGATAACAACCGCTCTCCATGGCGTTTCAACAACCGCTTACTTTCAAACAAGGACTTTGTGGATTTCATCTCAAAGCAAATAGACTTCTTTCTCAGTGTATTGTGGTTTCGAGAGGAAAATTAAAAAAGAAAAGTTTAGTGAACTGACGAAACGCATTTCAAAATTAGATGCGATATATGCCTTCTCCCCCTCTCCATCTCTTTTCAAAGAACGTCTTTCTCTGCAGACTGAGTTTGAGGTTCTAGCTACAGATCACACAACAGAAATGCTACTGAAGTCCAGATATACTTTTTACGAACAAGGGGACAAGGCCAGTCAGTTGTTAGCCCACCAACTGCGACAGACCTTGGCAACTCACCAAATTCCACAAATAGGTACAGCTTCAGGTGTGACTATTGATCCTAAGTCAATTAATGACGAATTTAGGGATTTTTACAAATTGCTATACACTTCAGAAAATACTGAGGAGATTTCTCACTTTGAAAGTTTCTTTAACTCACTTAATATACCCAATGTCCATCCTGATGATGCTATTGACTTGGAAAGAGATATTACCGTTGAAGAACTCGTTACAGCAGCCAGGTCTATGCAGTCTGGGAAGTGCCCAGGGTCGGACGGATACCCTGTTGAATTTTATAAGACGTTTCTCCATAAATTGGCCCCTATCTTGATTGATATGTTTAACGAATCATTTGAATCTCTTTCATTGCCCCAGACACTTACCCAAGCCTCAATCTCCCTTATATTGAAAAAGAATAAAGACCCCCTGTCCTGTGCTTCATACCGCCCCATCAGTCTTCTGAACGTGGACTCTAAATTACTATCCAAACTTTTAGCCTTACGCCTTGACTCAATACTTCCAACCATAATTTCCCCTGATCAAACTGGTTTCATTAAAGATAAGCATTCGTATTTTAATTTAAGACGTTTGTTCAATACAATTTATAACCCACCTACATCTACTGTTTCAGAAGCTTTTATATCTTTGGACACCGAGAAGGCTTTCGATCGTGTAGAGTGGGGCTACCTTTTTTACACACCAGACAGATTTGGTTTCAGTCTAAAGTTCATTTCCTGGGTTAAGCTTCTTTATTCTCTCCCAAAGCCTCAGTTAGAACGAACGACACGCGCTCTGAATATTTTCCTCTCCACAGGTCAACGAAACAGGGTTGTCCCCTGAGCCCCCTGCTATTTGCCGTAGTAATGGAGCCACTTGCGATTGCGCTTCGTTCTAACCCCCTCATCTCTGGGATATCCCGATGTGGCTTAGAACAGAGAGTCTATCTTTACGCGGACAACCTTCTTCTATATATTTCCAATCTATCTATATCCATCACTGCTGTACTTGCCACACTCAAATCTTTTGGTTTTATATCAGGTTATAAGATAAATCTTGGTAAAAGTGAGTTATTTCCTCTGAATGCAACCGCACACAGTTTGCCCCTACACAGTTTTCCATTTAAAATATCTCATCACTGCTTCACTTATCTTGGCATTCAAATTACAAGTAATTTTAAAAATCTCTTTCAAGCCAATTTTGCCCCCTGTTTAGCACGTATGCAGAAAGATTTTGATCAATAGTCATTACTCCCACTGAATTTAGCTGCACGGATCAGTTGTGTTAAAATGAATACTCTTCCAAAGTTTTCCTATTTATTTCAATGTATACCGATTTTTATCACTCAAAAGTTTTTTAAGAAAATTTATATTTTAATTTTGGGAAACCCCCAGACTGCGTAAAGACTTTTTACAAAGACCTAAGTCTTCTGGAGGGATGGCCTTACCAAATTTTAGGTTCTATTACTGGGCTACAAACCTCAGAATTGTGCAGCACTGGATCAGATCTGATACGCTTCACCCCCACCCCTCTTGGTTGGCTATGGAGTGCCTCTCCTCGAAACCCATGTCACTGATATCTTTGGTACACTCCCCCACCAACAGCCCATTCTACCCCTGTGTTAAAAATATAATTGTCCAAACTACTGTAAGGATTTGGAACCAATTTAAGCGTAACTTTGGTCTGCATATTTTCTCAACCTATGCTCCCCTGGCTGCAAATCCCGTGTTCCCTCCCTCCATATCTGATGGTGCTTTTGTGATTTGGTCCAATCTTGGCATTAAACGGTTTAGAGATTTATACATCGATAATGTATTTGCATCTTTTCAACAACTCCAGGAACTGTTTTCTATTCCTGAGTCACTTTTTCCGATACCTACAAGCTCGTAATTTTGCTTGCAATACATATGCCCAATTTCCAAACCTGCCTGCCGATACAACCCTAGATACTCTCTTTATTCAAGTCCCAATCATGAGAAGAGGTATGATTTCACATATTTATAGTCAGAGTCAAACCCTATCCTCAACCTCTTTGAATATTGTGAAGGCTCTCTGGGAGGAGGAACTGGGGGAGGGGATTTCGGACAAGCTCTGGGGGGATATTCTTAAGCGGGTGCATACCTCATCTATCTGTGCCAGGCATGGCTTTATCCAATGTAAAGTGGTTCACCACACTCACTGGACTAAGGTTAGAAGCTCTCCAAGATCTATGATCACAGTTGACCCATCCTGTGAGAAATGTCACCAGACGCCTGCAAACCATGTCCACATGTTCTGGTCCTGCACATCTTTGTATAATTATTGGACTGCAATTTTTAAAACTCTATCGGAGGTAACTGGGACATTTCTACAACTTAATGCTATGACTGCCTTATTTGACATCTCTCAGGTGCCCTTGCCTAAACCGCAATCAGATATAATTGCCTTTGTTACTTTATTGGCTCGACGCCTCATTCTAATGAGGTGGAAATCAACAACACCCCCTTCCCACACCTCTGGGTAAAAGAGATTTTCAATAACTTAAAACTTGAAAGAATTCGATATACATTGAAAGGATCCTCTCGTAAATTCAGAGAAGTGTGGGGCCCCTTCCTTGTTTATGCAGAAAAGATTATTTTCCCACTTGTCCCTGAATAAGGTCCTGCACTGTCCTGCTGCTACCTCTTTGTCAATTAAGCTTTGTAATTATTGTATTGATGTATGTATTTATTGTTTCTTTTTTGTCTTCCCTCTTCTACTCTGCTTTAAGGACTGAGATTGTTATGCATACTCACAGCCGTGATCCATAGTATGACCCGACTGACCACCCTGTTCAAATGGTGTTTGTTTTTGTTTGTTGATGTAAACCTTGCAACACTGTCACTCACGAGTACTGTGAACCTATTGCCTCTTTGTGTACAAAAATTTAATAAAAGACGCACCTTTGCTGGTATATCAAGAGTAAAAGACGCCTTAAACACCTACGTTTTCTGGAAGATCTAATCCGCTCATTTTCCGATCACTGGTGGATCAAGGCATTAACTGTTGCTCCCGCGAGATGCCGTTGAGAAACCATAGTAACACACAGTTCCTGTTTCCAGCGGAGAGAGGGATGTTTTTCCCAAAGCCTGTGTATTTATACCCTACACCTTGATGAAGGGTGCTTCATTCAGCTGCCAGTGTGACAGTTGGCTATATACTTCCTGAATATAAATGTATTGATATTTATTTTGCAAATACAGGTGTCAAGACTCTGCTGTACTGGTGCACACCAAACTATTTTTCACATACCCATTGTCATAAATCGGCTTATGGGTCATGGCAAAAGACAAGAGGAGTCAGAAGTTTACCAAAGAAAACAAATAGTTTATTATAAATAATCAATAATAAGAGTTCTGAGGCGTGTTTAATCTGTATCTTCAGTGGTGAACGTGTGGATGTGTGTGAAATTATGATGTGGTGTGAGGTGTAGAAGATTGCACTAACATTAGTAACTAAAGTAACAATAAGCATCGGTCAGGCTGAGAGAGAGTGAATGAGGGAAACCAGCAGATCTTTGTAGTAGGGCTGGACGATATGACCTCAAATAGATATCAAGATTAATTGAACATTTTAACTCGATTACGATTAATGGGTTTCAATTATTTTGTTCTTGTTTTTTGCCCTGATAGTTAACTGACATGGTCTCTACTGTATACTAAATTATTAAAGCTGGGATATGAAAGTGCATATCGGATTAACTATTTTGTGGTTATTTATTGAATTATTTGGAACTGAAATCAAAGCATCGCTTGAAATGAAAACGACACATTTTAGTTTTTAAGTATAAATGAACTTCTGTAAAACAGTAGAAAATAAATAACTTGCATTTCTTGCAAACAGTTTTACTGCAGTGTTAACATTCGACTTCTATTTGTCCAGTGACAAAATGTATCCAAACGACGGACACTGCATCTATGTCGCAGATTGGACGTATCGTCACATTACCCTGCCCTGAAAATAATCTAAATAATCGTCAAGATTCTGTCGGTGAGAGGTTCTGAGTAATTTTCAATTAATTTTCCAGTCCTACTTTGTAGGCCAGGGTGCACCAGGCCCAGGTGCAGTTTATCCTGTCAATGAGCCTCCAGCCAGGACACACCTCCTGCAGCAATCACACATACTGTACAGACAAACAGCAGCAAGCCAAAGACTCTTAGTGTTCTGGTGAAAGGGTCGTTACACTATAATTCAAACTATAATTCACATTTGCAGTGAAATACTTACAGTCTAGAAGCATGCTTTTATACAGGACTGCAGTGCACCAAAAGTAACAAGAGTACAGTGAAGAAAACATTTAGATCGGCTCTGTTTTAAACCAGACAGATACAATAAAACTGTCTTTACATCTCTCCTGTGTTATATAAAGAGGATGAACAGAGCTAAAATGGTCCTGTTCAAAACTCACCTAAACTCTGCGACTTGCACTGTGCCAAGACATTACTTCTTCGAATTGCAAAAACTGAGTATGTTCCACTCATATGCACTTGCAGTAGGATTGTGTAGATGTGCATTTTGTTTGGTGGCTGTGGTTCAGTGATAGAGTTGGTCGTCTCTTCAACCTTCTGTCCCCAGGTAAAAGCGACCACGGTGTCCTTGGGCAAGACACTTAACCCCGAAGTCACTCCTGCTGCTTACACGGCGGCATATGAATGTGTACGACTTAGTTAATACTGATGGACTCTTTACGCAGCTGCCTCTACCATCAGTGTGTGAATGTGTAGGTGTGACCTGCGAGGTAAAAGAGCTTTGAGTAGTCAGAAGACTAGAAAATAAATATACAAGCTCAAGTCTATTTACCATTAAAGGGGCACTCACAGGCCCAGTTGCTCCGTACTGTGCTGAAGCCCGATTGTTCCCCCTCCCCATTCCTCCGCTGACCTGCACTCACACTGCTCCAGGACAAACCGGGCCTGAGCACGTTGACCTCTTGTACATAACATCGTAATACAACACATGCATGGCTTTAGGTGATACTGAAGCGTGCTCAGTTCATAAGACAGATGGACTCAAAAAATAAAAAAGGGATGAGAGGTTGAGACCGCATCCGCACATTGGAGAACAACACAGAGAACAAGACAGCTACTTTACTGACTTTGTGGCTTATTTTGAGTCATGTTAGTCAGATACAGACAGAACACTCTGGGATTTCTTCATTAACGAAGGCTGTCTATGTTTCCTGCCCGTGGTTGTGCAACTGTACTTAGCCAAAGCACACCTCCTCCAACCGTGCCAAGGCCGAGAACATGTACCGTGTGTACGGATTGCCTAGTGTGAGGGCGCCCTTAGTCAATTTTTATGGCTTTCCTCCTAACAGAAAAACATTTAGAGCTGTCTTTAATAATAACAACAACTTTGACATAACTTCAATGTTCATCCTTGATATACTTTTGACATTAATGATATTTTTTCTTTCAAATTTCACAGTTCTTGGATGCCAATTCACTGCCAGTATTCTTGGACACACTCAGCGATGTCACCGTCAACTTCACTGAGGAAGTGGTTAAATCTCCCACAAACATAAATGCCATTGTTGATATACTCAGCAATGTTGCGAATACATCCCTACCTATTAATAGTGACTTAGCAAAGGTATGTGAACAAGAAGGGTGAGGTTTACTTTATGTAACAGTATACTTTACATTTCACACGGTCTAATGTCTCCTTTCCTATCAATGCAGGATATCCTTCTCACTGCAGGTGTCCTCACCACATATGGTGCATGGAAAACCTGGGAGTCCCTGAACAATGACACAAGAAATGCCTCACAGATGAGAAGAATCTACACATTCTTGCAGTCACTGGAGACTATAACAGGTCTCATTACTGGTGTCTCTTTAGCAATTGACACACCTTCTATTCTCTTTAACAAAATTACATTCACTGACTCTTTCAATGCCAGCTTTAATTCTTCAGTGACGATAGTTATATCAGAACCTGGTGAAGGAGAGAAGAATATCACTGTGATGACATTTATTTCAATGGATAACGTTCTTCCTGCGAGAGACAAATCAAATTCCTCCTGATTTGACATCAATGGGAGAGTCGTTCTTGTTCAGACCAGCATTGGAAACAGCCCCATTAATAATATTTCCTTTACATTTAACCTCACTAACACTTCACTGGTGAACCCACAGTGTGTATTCTAGAAAACATGATAGATGTCGCACCAGCACAAAACAAAAACAAACTTCTGTTTGGCTGAATCATACTGAATCCTCTGCTCACCTACAGGGACGCACCTCCAAACCTTCTCCCCTTACGATTGCACAAAAGGAGTTATCAAACTGGAACACACATTAATTAAGCACTAAGCACTGAGCACTAAGAACTAAGTGCAAGCGGACAACCAAAATGTCTATGTCTCGAGCTGCATTGTTGTGTTAGCAGGCTAATGTTAGCGCTCTTTTGTTAGCTCGTAGCTTCATATTGCATGGAAATTTACACGGAATTAATTTTATTCTTTGTGCTGTTTTTATTTCTCTCTTTTTCGTCTTTTCCCCATCTGTCAGGATGTCGTTGATGTCTTGTGTAAAGCTCTTTGAATTGGCATGTTTCTGAAAAGTGCTACAGAAATGCATTTGCCTTGCCTTTCCTCCGCTGTGTTTGAAAATGTTTAGGAAATTCACGATATGAATACTGATCAGGCTAATGTTAGCGCTCTTTTGTTAGCTCGTAGCTTCATATTGCATATAAATTTACACGGAATGACCTTGTTCTAAAAACTTTAAGTACTGTATGTGTATCACCTCTTGTGCTCTCAACACCCCCAACCACTGATTCTGCATTCATAGATATCTATTTAAGGAAAGGAATAAAAGGCAAATCAAACAAAAAAGTAATTAAGTTTTATGTTTCACATGAAATTACCCTCGTGTGATAACTGCTGTTTCTGTCGTAGAACTTTCCTTTGTCCTGGATATAGACTTTGACGAATCCTTCAATGAAGAATCAAATGATGTTTTCGTCAATGCAAACAGAGCTGTAAGTCTTTGTGTTTCTTCTTTCTCAGTCATATTATTCTGTTCTAAAGTTGAATCATTGATTTCAAACAAGAATAATATTAAAACCAATAACAGACAAGCTTTTGTCACATTCTTTTAAAAGATTCAAAAGCAATGTCGGACTCCACAATCATCTTGTCAGTTAAGTGGATTCAGGTAAGCTTGTACCCTCTTTTAAAGAGGTCATATTCTGCCCTTTTTGGGGTTCGTATATTTAATCTATGTACCTACTAAAGTATGTTCACAATAGCTAAAGTTTGAAAAAAGTGTCTGTTTTCATGTACTGCCACTCCATGCACCTGCTCGCTTCTGACTCTCTCTCTAAGGCTCTGAAGTGCCCAAGTTCAGAGTCCCCACGTGTGTTAAGTCTGATCTGATTGGTCGGCCTGTTGGCTCTGCCGTAATTGGTCAGTCGCTCAGCACGGTTCTCGGAAATGTCACGCCCCTTTTACCATATTGGGAATGCAGCCACTTTGGCTCCGAGTGGAGCAAAAACATTAGCACTTTAGCACTACTACAGAAGTTAATGGGCGTGCAACATGAGCTGCAGGGCTTGCCACAACGAGCCAATGGGCTTAGATCAGTGATATCACACTGACAAGACGTCACACTGGCAAATTGTTTCAGAGGGGGGCTAGAACCGAGCGTTACATGCAGCTAATGCTGCAGCTAACAGGAGGAGTGGGAGAAACCGCATTTCCGCAGACTTTGAATTTTTGCACATAGATGTGCCTAAAAATGCACAGGACACATGGAAAACACACTAAAGAGCATATAAAACCAGAAAAAGCATAATAGGGCCCCTTTAAAGGCAGAAGGTGCAACATTTGACACATAATACAGCAAAAGTCAAGTATATCCTGTGTACATGTTTCTCTGAGTCTTGACTGTCCATAGTGAGTGAAAAGCTTGAGTTCTGCTGGCGTTTGCCTCACTGAAGAAGATCTCAACAGAGCTACTGCCTGTACCAACCGTTTGCGTTTGCTCTTTTTATTATGGCTTTGTATGTCGGCATTTCACATGGGCGACTGAAAGTGAATGATAAATGGACTTGAGCTTATATAGCACTTTTCTATTCTTCAGACTTCTCAAAGGGCTTTTACACCGCATGTCACACCTACCCATTCACACACTGATGGCAGTGGTTGCCATGAAGACCATCAGGCTGTAGCCTGGAGCTCTTTGGAAAACGCTGGCTTCCTTTTGGACTTGACAGCTAGCCTACCTGTCACTACACAGCAGGTCTAAGCTAGGCTCGCTTAGAAACAGCTGCAACCTCGAGATTGATTGACACGTGAAGACAAAGCATTGTTGAACTTTGACATGTATTAGTGATGTTTTTATATTGGTTAAAACAGCAACAGCCTCGGCATCGACATTGGTTGACATATAAAGAGACGAATCAGTGTTGCAGACATGGTGTAGTGTTTTAGTTGGTTAAAACCGGAACAGGGACTGTCCAAAACAGGGACATATTAGTGTTTTATAGATGTATGTGGGAACTGGGGACACAAAGCAAAAAAATCGCGATGGTCCCGGTCAAATCGGGACATATGGTCACCCTAGCAGCAGAGGATGCAGGCCGCTAGCCAAAAAGACACTTTCTGCCTTTTCTCAGCCAAGAAGGCACCAACTTCAAAATGTATTTCACATTTCTACTACATATATGACCCAATGTCAATACAGATTCATGTTTCAACGGGTGAAGTATCCTTTTAATGTGGAAGAGCGTAATCATGGTTTCAGGAGCAGATGGTGTCCAAGTCGAATGTCAAATGGTCATAAATGTATTTTCTGTGTTGCAGGCCGGGAAGCACCATCGGACATTATACCATAAGAGGAGCTTCATTATCAGACACAGAGCTTCAAGCTATACAAACAGGGATCTTTCTAGACCTGTCGGAAACCTACCCTATAATATTTGACAGTATGACAGGTTTAATTTTTCTCTAATAAATGAAGGAAACTATATTTTTCTGTAATTTTTGCAATGGTTCCATACACATTTTTATCTTATCTGATCATTTTGTACACTTGTTTGCACATTTGAACCCTTTGTTCTTTTTTTCCTAGGTCAGTCATCCTTAAAGCTGGAACCGACTACAGTTATCTCACAGCAAGAGGCAACTGTGACATGTGGTCCTCCTCCAGCTGATCTCAATTTAGGAACCAACTGGACTGCAGAGTGGAGGTTCAACAACAGACCAATAACCAGAGATGAAAACCTCTATGAATTTTCAAAAGTGAATGAAGAAGCAGTGTTAACTCTGAAAAGATTCTTTGGTACAGACATTGGTAAGAAATCATTCAAGTAATATGCGTTTCATCCGTAGATTTTGTTTCTGTCTCCAAAGCTGCTTTATCGTATCCCATATCTAGATAATGTCAGGAGGACTAAAAATAAAACCCATAGTTTTTGCATCAGTCTTTTTTGCCATCACTATTAAACCTCTCGTCTTTCCCTCTACTTTCTCAGCTCATATGGTCATGGCAGATGGCTGTTCACTAATGAGTCTTGTTTTGCTCGTGATTTCTGCCTCTTTCTGGAAGTTTTTTTCAGTTTTTTCCGTTCGCTAATGGTGGAGAAATGCTGGGTTTCGCTGAGTGTCCGCTTGAGGTCACATACAAACCCATTCAAAAAAGCCTGTAACCCTTACCCTCTGGTGTCCAAACCTGCTCGCAAAACCCACCCTAGCCCATGGCTCACAGAAGTCATAAGAGAGCAAAGAGCAGGGCTGAGATCAGCAGAGAGAAAATGTCAAAAATCCAAACAGTCCGCTGACCTCAATGACTATAAGCAAAGACTTGTCTCATTCTCCTCCAGCCTGAAAACGGCCAAGACAACATATTATCAGAATAATATGATATGCATATGCAATGCCACAGATACAAGAAAAATGTTTCCTGCTTTTAACTCACTGCTTCAACCACCTCCTCCTCCACCCTCCGATCTGTTCACACCAGACATTTTTGCCTCGTATTTTACTGAAAAGGTTGCAACCATTAGTAACCAGTTTTCTGAGCCTGACCAACTCAGCCCAAAGGCACCAATCAAAAGTGCCTCACTTGACTCATTCTCCTCTCTGACTGAGGATGAAGTCTCTAAGCTTGTGCTAGACTCTTGGCCCACCACCTGTCCTCTGGACCCAATACCATCAAGCCTCCTGAGGACCATTTCCTCTCCGCTTATTGCTGCACTTAAGCATATCATCAACTCCTCTCTGTCAACGGGTGTGTTCCCCACCGCATTCAAGCAAGCTCGGATCACCCCTCTGCTCAAAAATCCCACACTAAACCCAGCCCAGGTTGAAAACTACAGACCGGTTTCTTTTCTGCCCTTTCTGTCAAAAACATTTGAGCGCACAGTCTTTAAGCAAGTCTCTGAGTTCCTGTCCAGAAACAATCTGTTTGACCCAAATCAGTCAGGCTTTAAGCGGGGCGACTCTACTGAAACTGCACTACTGTCAGTAACAGAATCGCTACGTGCTGCCAGAGCTGCAGGTCACTCCTCAGTTCTATTACTGCTAGACCTGTCTGCTGCTTTTGACACAGTCAACCATCAACTCTTCCTATCCACACTCTCTGAACTTGGCATTTCAGGATCTGCCCTCTGCTGGTTCATGTCCTACCTCTCTGGGCAATCCTTAGTTTAGAGTGTCGTGGAAGGGAGAAGTGTCCAAAGCGCACAGCTTATCCACAGGGGTACCTCAAGGGTCAGTGCTTGGTCCCCTTCTCTTCTCCATATACACAAGCTCACTTGGTTCAATATTCCGCTCTCATGGCTTCTCATACCACTGCTATGCTGACGATACCCAGCTCTTCCTGTCATTCCCGGCAGATGATGTTACAGTCTCTACAAGAATCTCATCGTGCCTTGCTGATATCTCTAAATGGATGAATGAACGGCACCTTCAACTCAATCTTTCAAAGACTGAGCTCCTTGTCATCCCAGCCAGTCCCTCTATGCAACCACAGATCAATATCCAGCTTGGAACAACCAAACTCATGCCCACAAAGTCTGCCCGGAACCTGGGTGTCATGATTGATGACCAGCTAACTTTTAAGGTTCAAGTAGCCTCGATTGCCTGGTCATGTCGATTTGCCCTGTACAACATCAGGAAGATCAGACCTTACCTGTCAGAACACGCTACACAGCTCCTGGTAAAGGCTCTTGTGATATCACGCATCGATTATTGAAACTCTCTACTGGCAGGTCTTCCTACATGCACTATCAAACCTCTGCAAATGATACAAAATGCAGCAGCACGATTGGTCTTCAACCTTCCTAAAAGAGCACATGTCACTCCGCTGTTCATCTCCTTACACTTGCTCCCAGTTACTGCTCGCATCAAATTTAAAAGTCTGCTGCTCGCTTACAAAACAGCGACAAAAACGGCTCCTCCTTACTTTAACTCTCTCATCCAGGTCTACACTCCCTCCCGCCCACTACGCTCTGCCAATGAAAGGCGTCTGATCCAACATTCACAACAGGGTCCTAAGTCTCTGACTAGACTCTTCTCCTCGGTTGCCTCCCGGTGGTGGAATGAACTTCCAAACTCCATTCGATCTGCAGAGTCCCTCTGCACCTTTAAGAAAAAGCTAAAGACCCAGCTCTTTCATGAATACCTACTAACTTAATGATGATGGTCTCCAAATTATTGATGATGATGATGGTTGTCACGATTGCTTTTGTTTGATAACGATGACTTATGAGATGGTTTCTATACTGATTAGAGCTCTCAAGAACTGCCGTCAATGTTGTGCTTTGCCTCTGTGCAATGCCTGTCAGCACCTGTGTGTCCAATTGGACTCAAAGCTGATCGTTTGCTCTTACTGACATTGTTCCCTTTTTCTAGATCCTTGCTTGTGTTGTACTTACTCTCTGATGTACGTCGCTTTGGATAAAAGCATCTGCTAAGTGAATTGTAGAATTGTAGGAATAGAAGTTTCATAAAACAAGGGAGAGCTAAAAGTCCAGCACTTAAAAAGTAGTGATGTGAAAAGCAGTTCTTTTCAGTGTACTGAATCAGAATCAGTTCAGTAAAGTGATTCGTTCAAAAGATTCGTTCACCGAATCGTTCAGTACTTCTCAGTAGCTCTGCCTGTGAATCAGAATTTAATAAGCTGAAACACGGCCGAACGTTTAGTTCTGCTCGCGATTGTACTAAGAACAGCCGGTGGTGAATAATAAGCCAATGAGCTGAGAATTTAGTTGGATAAAGCTACAGTTTGCAAACTGAAAGCTGCTAAAACAATCACATTTATTTTCCCCGACCGTTCTGTTCAGTACGTTCAGTACACAAATCACTCACTGACTGTCTGACTGAGAGGAAGAGAGTGACTCGGAGGCGGAGCTCTCGTTTAGTTCGTTCACTGAACGAACTGAACGAGAGCTCCGCTCTTCCTCTCAGTTCGTTCAGTGATTCACGTCGGAGCTCTCGTTCAGTTCGTTCAATGAATGAACTTAATGAGAGCTCCGCTCTTCCTCTCAGTTCGTTCAGTGATTCACGTCGGAGCTCCGCTCTTCCTCTCTCGTTCAGTTCGTTCACTGAACGAACTGAACGAGAGCTCCGCTCTTCCTCTCAGTTCGTTCAGTGATTCACGTCGGAGCTCTCGTTCAGTTCGTTCAATGAATGAACTTAACGAGAGCTCCGCTCTTCCTCTCAGTTCGTTCAGTGATTCATGTCGGAGCTCTCGTTCAGTTCGTTCAGTGAACATGAACGAGCAAGACTGCGAGTCACCAGCCTCAGTCACACACACACACACTGTACTGACTGAAACACGATCGTTAGTAGATGTTAAAACAGTCAGCTGAGTGAAATTAAGTTGGATATAAAAGCCGTTTGTAAACTGATGGCAGCTATAAAAAGCACATACATTTTCGCGACACCTAAATGTTAAATAATATATTTTCTACTTCCTCAATTTTGGAGACATGAGAGGGAGAAGTAGGGGCGGGCTTTAGTGACACAGAGCTCCCGACCGACTCCATCCTGTTGGTTCAGTCAGTATGTATCACTGACATGAAAGGGAGAGGGAGGGCGGGCTTTGAGCGACTCTTACGGTCTAGAGAGAGAGACACGAGACGGGAGAGAGGAGAGCGCAACTGAAGTTGAGAAATGAACGACTCTTTTCAGTAAGTGATTCAGTTCAGTTCGTTCACCCAGATGATTCGTTCGTTTTGAACGAATCGTTCATGACCGACACATCACTATTAAAAAGTATTAGCCTAAAAGTCACTGAGTTCCAACAAAATTAAAACAGTGAGCAAATTCAGCCGATCATCTGCGACTGCCCACGCCTTCTGCTTCCCTTGTAGGGTCTCCTCTCGTCGCTTGACACATACACGGGCTGCAAGAAAATACCACCAGTATTGTGCCTACCCACACCAAATCACACAACCACCGACCGTAATTCTAAAACCAGAGTGTTAAAACTGTCCCAGAGGTATACTCACACCGCTGGCAGAGCTCCTGACTGGCTCTCTGTCTCGTCTCTCGGCATCTCTTGCAGCAGGTCCTTCTCCGTCCTCCTGCGCCGTTGCTCCGCTCTCGTGTTGTGTTCTTAAGTTTCCGGGGACCGCTCTCTCGTTCACCTAATCTGCCTCTCGTCTGTCTCTCTCTCCTCTGATTTCTTCCTGTTTTTTCTTCCGTGTTTCTTGTTTATGACCCTCCCCTTTGCCGCCGATTGGACAAAGCAGCTCTGTTGTTGCTCCTCACTGAGCATGAAATAAAACAAAGCTACACAGATGCAGGTAATCTGTCATCAGTCTCCCAAAGGCAGAAAGTTAACTCAATATAAAAACAAGTGTTAACCTTCCTGCTCCGCGTTCCAACCGTGGTCAGGGCGCACAGGGGAGACTTATTTATCTGCTCCACTTCTGCCGAAGTCGTGGTTCTCAACTTCGGGGCTAACCCCCGTCACTTCACTGGGGTGCAGCAAGGTGTAAACAGACAACGGAGAGTCCGGCTTGTTATTTTGGGCTTCCGGGCCGTTTATTATGCTCGCAGAGCTTGAACTGTACATACACTTAAATCAGAGGCCTCAAACTGCTGGCCCGCGGGCCATTTACGGCCCCCCTCCCCCCAATTCCCGGCCCGCCCCGCATGTTAAAAACATAATGTAGTCAGGCCGCAAAATATTTTTTAAATTAAATGAATTTATTTTATTTTTTCGTTTCTTCATGCTAATTAAAAATACAATTTCTTATGAAATTCAAAAAAAAAAAAAAAGTAATTCAATAAAAATTATTTTGACAAGGTTGTAAGTCAAAGGCCAAAGGTGACCGCACATGCCCAGAGAGGTTCACGGAGTGAGAGCAGTTGGCGCAAAAGTGTTGTGTTGTTGTTTGGCTGCTTACGACCAAGATGTCACTTTCTAAGTCAAAAAGGAAAGTTGACAATGAACACAGACAGTTTCAAGAACGATGGACATTACAGTATTTTTTTGTGGAGTTTAGTGGACATGCAACCTGCCTGATATGTCAGGAAAGAATTGCCGTTTTAAAGGAGTACAATCTCAAGCGTCATTACTGCACTAAACACGGAGAGCAGTATGAAAAGTACCAGGGAGAGGAGAGGAAACAGCGTGCCACGCAGCTACAGAGAGGACTTCTTTCTCAGCAAAGTCTTTTCCACAAATCCAAGAAGGAGGCCGATGCTGCTGTTGAAGCAAGTTACGTGTTGAGTGAATTAATTGCCAGAACGGGGAAACCATTCAGGGAAGGACAGTTTCTGAAGGAGTGCATTTTGCAAGTTGCTGACATTCTGTGTCCAGAAAAGAAGAGTTTGTTCAACAATATTTGTCTATCGGCAAACACTGTGGCAGAGCGGATTAGCAGTTTATCAAGTGACATTTATGATCAATTATGTGACAGAGTAAAACGTTTCACTGCATACTCTGTGGCGCTTGATGAAAGCACGGATAAAACAGACACTGCCCAGCTGTCCATATTCATCAGGGGTTTTAATGACCAATTCGAAGTGACTGAAGAGTTGATGAGTTTGTGCGCAATGCACGGCCGCTCTACAGCCACATTTTTCAGCAGTTCTCTGACGCGATTGAGCGCGCGGGTTTGCCATGGAATAGACTGGTTGGCATCACCACTGACGGAGCCCTGTCCATGACAGGCAAAAAAAACGGACTAGTAGCGCTGGTACAGAGGTGATGAATATGCCTCTGCTATTGACAATCTTCTGCAGGAGTTTGATCAGCGTTTTGCTGACTTCAAGGAACACCGGGTCACTTTCCAGGTATTTGCAGACCCCTTTTCAGCTGATGTTGAGAGTGTCCCAAGTGTGTTGCAAATGGAACTTGTTGACCTGCAGTGTAACAGTGAACTGAAAAATAAATTCAGAGAGTACAGGGAAGGCAGACCTGACTGGACAGTTTCTAAGAGAATTACCTGCATCCTTCCCCCAGAGCTATCCAAATTGTCCAGTCGTGTAATGTGCCTTTTTGGAAGCACATATCTGTGTGAGAAACTCTCGACAATGAACTTTAATAAATGCAAGTACAGGTCCAGGCTTAGTGATGCACACCTTGAAGCTGTACTCAGGGTTTCAACTGTGACCTCCATCAAGGTAAATGTGGCTCAGCTGTGTGAGCAGAAGCGCTGCCAGGTGTCTGGCAAGAAATATAATGCAGGAATAATGTATTGGTATTTTGAGTAACTGCATTTTTTGGTTCAGTGCAGGTTTTATTTATTATTTGATTAAGTTATTTTAGTTATTTAAGTTATAAAGCAAACACAAAAGACTTGCACTACTAAATGAAAGCAGATGTTTTGAAAAATGTATATAAACTGCTGTTTGTAATAGTGATGTGTGACAAAATTTTGCAGAAACAAAAAGTACATTTGCAAAAATAAAGTCCTTTTTGTGAATGCTTGAACTTTGTAGTGGCCCTCCTTTAAGTCGACAGTACTCCCAGTGGCCCCATGCCAGTTTGAGTTTGAGACCCCTGACTTAAATGTTAACCTTCCTGCTCCGGTCTCCGCTATCACAACGTGCCTCTCACCACATACCCGCCGAACACACACACTCTCGCCTCGCTTTCCCTCTCTCCTCTCTCGCTCCTCCCACCCACACACATGCGCACTAAGCCATTCACAGACAGACACACCCCGCTCATATAACACAAGCATAAAACCAAGAGTATTGATAAAAACACAGCAATGGCAATCAAATAAAACCAAATCGTAAATATCACAACATGAATAAAACCCAAAGTATCAAAGCATGCGTAGAAGAATGTGCAATATCAGAAAATAACTTCTACCTTATTACACACCCTCGTACAGTGTGTTCTAGTGAGGACAAAAACTAATCAGACCTATTTCATTTTTGTACCAGGCTGTAAACATGTTAGTTTTTTGCATGTGGTGTGTATGTGACTTCTGATGCTTCTGCAGCCAGCCTCAAGTGGACACTTAAGGAACTGCAGGATTTTGAAGTTCTGCAATGGCTTCATTTTTCAACACCGGAGGTCGTCGCTTGGTGGGAACACACGTCAACCTTAGTAACCGAATGTCAGCGAACAATTACAATGTCTGCAACAATCATTCATGATATCATCATCACAGTTTGTCTGTTTCACCTTTCGCAATAAACGGGAACACCACTCAAAGTCATTTCATTTAGGACATTTCTTTATCTTTTAGAAATGCGTTAAGATCTTTCCAATACAGCGATGGAGGAAAAGTATGGTTAGAACATTAGGACATTAAAAGTCACTACATGAATGCTGCTTCAGATTGTTTCCATTTAAACCCGGTGTTGCTACTTCACATTAACTTTAAATCCCCTTTGATTTTTAGGTCAATATGAATGTAGGCTTAAGTCTGGCCAGAAAAGCTTCAGAGAGAGATCCAATCAAAGCTTTACACTCCAAGAGCAACCTCTGATACAACTGACGCCGCTCAGCAGACAAATCCATTGTGAGGTCATAAGAGAAGTGAAAATAGAGTGCTCTGTCAACGAACCCTACACTGTTGAGTTAAGAAACTCGACTGGAGGTAAGCCTGAACCAAACAAACACCAAAAGGCTAATCTTTTATATTTTATATTCATATTAATAAATTGAATTCTTTAAGTCTTAGGCACAGGTAAATCTAATATAAGCTACAATATTACCATCAACTGTGACGACATGGAACATACATTCACCTGTCAAGTGTTTGGCCACGAAGAATCAAAACGAACTACACTGAAGATAACTACAGGAGGTAAGTGTTGATTAAAGGGAATGAAATACAGATCAGATCTAAATATTTTTCTTCCCTTGAAAGTAATGTTGTTTCATTCATTTCTTTGTTCCTAGATCCTGTTTGTGAAGATGATGTATTTGGTACTGGAAATCTTGGCCAGATGGCCGTCGGTTCCTGTGAACGTGACGAGGTGGGAGAGAGGAAAGGAGTTTGTCAGGAAGATGGATCATGGAGAGAAGTTGAAAACAACTGTATCCTAGGACCGGTTCAGGAGCTGCTCCTGCAGTCTGAGGTGAGGAATTTACCAGCACATGCTGACACAACATATTTTTAATAATAATAATTTGGGGGCCTCAAGCAAACTCCTTGCTGCTCCAGCCTTTGTCACAAAAATCAGGCTACTGGTAACTTTTTCTTTTCTAAAACTATTATTGTAGAACCACAACGACGTCTGAGCTTCAACTGTATTATCTTTGTCTTTGCATTAATTTAGGACAACCTGTTCTATGACATTACAATTAAATTAGAATAAAGAATGAAGGCTTCATCTAATAATTGTGTTATTAGTCGACATCATAGACTGTATAAAGATTATTATTAATTTACAGTTTACACTAATATGAGTGTAAGAAGAATCTACATAAAGATTTTTACAGAATGCATTAGCTACAAAAAAAGGCGCACCTTTGCTGGTATATCAAGAATAAAAGACGCCTTAAACACCTACGTTTTCTGGAAGATCTAATCCGCTCATTTTCCGATCACTGGTGGATCAAGGCATTAACTGTTGCTCCCGCGAGATGCCGTTGAGAAACCATAGTAACACACAGTTCCTGTTTCCAGCGAGAGAGGATGTTTTTCCCAAAGCCCGTGTATTTATACCCTACACCTTGATGAAGGGTGCTTCATTCAGCTGCCAGTGTGACAGTTGGCTATATACTTCCTGAATATAAATGTATTGATATTTATTTTGCAAATACAGGTGTCAAGACTCTGCTGTACTGGTGCACACCAAACTATTTTTCACATACCCATTGTCATAAGTCGGCTTATGGGTCATGGCAAAAGACAAGTTTAGAAGAAGTTTACCAAAGAAAACAAATAGTTTATTATAAATAATCAATAATAAGAGTTCTGAGGCGTGTTTAATCTGTATCTTCAGTGGTGAACGTGTGGATGTGTGTGAAATTATGATGTGGTGTGAGGTGTAGAAGATTGCACTAACATTAGTAACTAAAGTAACAATAAGCATCGGTCAGGCTGAGAGAGAGTGAATGAGGGAAACCAGCAGATCTTTGTAGTAGGCCTGGACGATATGACCTCAAATAGATATCAAGATTAATTGAACATTTTAACTCGATTACGATTAATGGGTTTCAATTATTTTGTTCTTGTTTTTTGCCCTGATAGTTAACTGACATGGTCTCTACTGTATACTAAATTATTAAAGCTGGGATATGAAAGTGCATATCGGATTAACTATTTTGTGGTTATTTATTGAATTATTTGGAACTGAAATCAAAGCATCGCTTGAAATGAAAACGACACATTTTAGTTTTTAAGTATAAATGAACTTCTGTAAAACAGTAGAAAATAAATAACTTGCATTTCTTGCAAACAGTTTTACTGCAGTGTTAACATTCGACTTCTATTTGTTGAAAATGTATCCAAACGACGGACATGCATCTAGTCGCAGATTGGACGTATCGTCACATTACTGCCTGAAAATAATCTAAATAATCGTCAAGATTCTGTTGGTGAGAGGTTCTGAGTAATTTTCAATTAATTTTCCAGTCCTACTTTGTAGGCCAGGGTGCACCAGGCCCAGGTGCAGTTTATCCTGCCAATGAGCTTCCAGCCAGGACACACCTCCTGCAGCAATCACACATACTGTACAGACAAACAGCAGCAAGCCAAAGACTCTTAGTGTTCTGGTGAAAGGGTCGTTACACTATAATTCAAACTATAATTCACATTTGCAGTGAAATACTTACAGTCTAGAAGCATGCTTTTATACAGGACTGCAGTGCACCAAAAGTAACAAGAGTACAGTGAAGAAAACATTTAGATCGGCTCTGTTTTAAACCAGACAGATACAATAAAACTGCCTTTACATCTCTCCTGTGTTATATAAAGAGGATGAACAGAGCTAAAATGGTCCTGTTCAAAACTCACCTAAACTCTGCGACTTGCACTGTGCCAAGACATTACTTCTTCGAATTGCAAAAACTGAGTATGTTCCACTCATATGCACTTGCAGTAGGATTGTGTAGTTGCCCGTCTATGTTTCCTGCCCGTGGTTGTGCAACTGTACTTAGCCAAAGCACACTTCCTCCAACCGTGCCAAGGCCGAGAACATGTACCGTGTGTACGGATTGCCTAGTGTGAGGGCGCCCTTAGTCAATTTTTATGGCTTTCCTCCCAACAGAAAAACATTTAGAGCTGTCTTTAATAATAACAACAACTTTGACATCACTTCAATGTTCATTCTTGATATACTTTTAACATTGATGATATTTTTTCTTTCAAATTTCACAGTTGTTGAATGCCAATTCACTGCCAGTATTCTTGGATACACTCAGCGATGTCACCGTCAACTTCACTGAGGAAGTGGTTAAATCTCCCACAAACATAAATGCCATTGTTGATATACTCAGCAATGTTGCGAATACATCCCTACCTATTAATAGTGACTTAGCAAAGGTATGTGAACAAGAAGGGTGAGGTTTACTTTATGTAACGTATACTTTACATTTCATGGTCTAATGTCTCCTTTCCTATCAATGCAGGATATCCTTCTCACTGCAGGTGTCTCACCACAGATGGTGCAAGGGAAACCTGGGAGTCCCTGAACAATGCACAAGAAATGCCTCACAGACGAAAGAAGCTTCACATTCTTGCAGTCACTGGAGACTATAAAGGTCTCATTAATGATGTCTCTTTAGCAATTGACACACCTTCTATTCTCTTAAACAAAACTACATTCACAGACTCTTTCAATGCCAGCTTTAATTCTTCAGTGACGATAGTTATATCAGAACCTGGTGAAGGAGAGAAGAATATCACTGTGATGACATTTGCTTCAATGGATAACGTTCTCCCTGCGAGAGACGAAGCAAATTCCTCCAGATTTGACATCAATGGGAGAGTCGTTCTTGTTCAGACCAGCATTGGAAACAGCCCCATTAATATTTCCTTTACATTTAACCTCAATAACACTTCACTGGTGGACCCACAGTGTGTATTCTGGAACTTCAGCCTCTTTGATGATCGGGGGGGATGGGACAACGAAGGCTGTATGCTTGTAGAAATTAAAAATGGAAGCGTCACCTGCAACTGCAACCACCTGACCTCCTTCTCCATCCTTATGTCGCCCTTCGTTAACTGCGAAGTGTGTTCTCTGATAACATTTATTGGAGTTGGCATATCCATGGCCTCCTTGGTCATATGCTTAATAATTGAGGCTGTCATATGGAGAAAAATTAGAAGGAACACCACATCTTACCTGCGTCATGTCTCCATTGTTAACATCGCCGTGTCTCTCCTGATTGCAGACATTTGGTTTATCATAGGGGCTTCTATTTCAAAAGCACGGGTGATAACCGTGACGCATGCTCTGCAGCTACATTTTTCATCCATTTTTTCTACCTAGCCATGTTCTTCTGGATGTTAGCCTTAGCTTCTGTTGCTTTACCGCACAGTCAGTGTCTTTGTGGAGGTTTGTCCAAAAGATCTATGCTGGCTATTGGATTCTCTGTAGGCTACGGAGGGCCTATTATCATTGCGGTCATAACTATAGCTGCCACTGCACCAGTGAAAGGTACACACAAGGTATATTCTGCTGGCTCAACTTTAAGAGTCCCTCGCCATAATAGCCTTTGTGTTGCCTGCTCTGACGATAGTGCTGTTTCACCTCATCGTCTTGATTGTGGTATTATTCAAAATGCTGAGGAGAAGGGCAGTGACAGACTCTGCCCAAGCAGGTCAGAGGAATGTTTATTGCTTATTGCAAGGACCCTGGCTGTCCTCACACCATTATTTGGATTAACTTGGGGTCTGGGAATCGGAACCCTGGCCGACCCAGAAAATCAAGGCATCCACATTGCTTTTTCATTCTTCAATTCACTGCAGGTATGAATACTATAGTTAAACATAACTGTGTGACATTCTGTATAATTCTAACGCTTTTGATGTATTTTGAATTATGAGTGTGTGTTTTGTCATTAAAGCCTTGTGATGCCACTGTGTGCTTTTGTCCTTAAAGGGTTTCTTCATATTGGTGTTTGGACTGCTGCTGGACAAAAAGGTATTTACAACTCAATATTCACATTTGTATTTAATTGCACGGTTAAATACTAGATGAAAACATTCTGAATTATAGTTTTCCTTTGCTTTTTTCCCTGTCATTGCAAAATGTGCACTGCAACATGTGCAGGTAATACACTGACAACAACAGAATCTCCAAAGAGATTAGTATTCGTCAATCAAAGTCAAGTCGAGTCTGTAGCTGCCGAAACTTTTTATTTTACATTTTTTTACTGAGATACATAGTTATTTTGACAATAGTAGTTATACATGTGGTTTTGTTATTAGATAAACTAGAGATCTGATTAAGTCTAATTTTTCTAAGCCCAACACCGTGTCCTAACAGTAGATATCGCGATGCATCGCGCATGATCTCACGCTCGCTGTTGTTGGGGTTTTATCTAGTCAAATTTGGTTATATTATTTATACTTTACTTTACTTATTTAATTATTAATTCATATAAATAACAATATTATTAAACTACACAAAGCCCTCGCACCCAGGTTATTTCACAATGCAAAATACACCAGTAATCGCAAACAACTGCTCTAATAAATTATAACAGAATTTATTTAACAAAGACACATCTATGAAGGCAGATATGTTGCAAAATAGGAGAGCTTGTAGAATGTGATGTGAGAGCTTGTAGAATGTGATGTGAGAACTTGTAGAATGTGACTTGAGAACTTGTAGAATGTGATGTGAGAGCTTATAGAATGTGATGTGAGAGCTTGTAGAATGTGATGTGAGAGCTTATAGAATGTGATGTGAGAGCTTGTAGAATGTGATGTGAGAGCTTGTAGAATGTGATGTGAGAGCTTATAGAATGAGATGTGAGAACTTGTAGAATGTGATGTGAGAACTTGTAGAATGTGCCGTGAGAACTTGTAGAATGTGATGTGAGAGCTTATAGAATGAGATGTGAGAACTTGTAGAATGTGATGTGAGAACTTGTAGAATTTGGGTTGGCACGCGGAGGGTTGCCGGTTCAAGTCCCGGTGCAGACCAAATATGGAAGTTGGTCTGGTAGCTGGAGCGGTGCCAGATCGCCTCCTGAGCACTGCCGAGGTGCCCTTGAGTAAGGCACCAAACCCCCTCCCCACTACCAGCTCAGCAGCACCCGCTGTGGGCAGCTCTGTCACTCTGACATTTCATCATTAGTGCATGTCCATAGGATCCTGTTTGTGCATGTGTGTGTGTTGCATGACTTACAGTGTAAGTGACCCCCTTGCGAGGATCAATAAAAGTATCATCTTAATTAATGTACCGTACTTTGTAAAACAAGCTAACAAGCTCTTTGAGTGAGGAAAGCGAGTGTCAGTGCCTTGTAGAGCCCCCTCCTCACCTACACGAGCGACAGAGAGGGGAAAAGAAGTGGGGCGTCTCGCAGGCAGTTAGAACACTCCAAGAGTAAATAACATATTTAAGCTGACTTCGCTGCTGACACTCACTTGCGTAGCGTTGCGTGCTGTTAGCAGACGCTTTAATCAGGGGAAAAAAATACCTGGAGGGCAGCTTAAGAACTATGACACCTGATTTAAAAACAAATCAAAGTAAACAAAAAGTCTTCAACAGAGCAATTCGTCCAACCTTTGGTAACCTCTACTGACAACCTAGAGTCAGATTAAAAAAGTGACCGTGTTAACTGATATCTTTCAAACAAACGCGACTGAAAGTGTCCTAACGCTGTGGTTCTACACAGTGTTTCAACATTTTGCCCTCCAGCCCTCCACGCTGGTCCAGGCATGGATTATCCCCCGGGCCAATTGGGCTGGTGCCGGGGCCTCCGACCACTAGGGGCCTTTTTAAATTTATTTTTTTATAAATAAAAAGATAATGTGTGTGTTGAAATGGATGCAAAGTTACTTTATGTGAAAATAAGAAAACAGTTATGATTGGTTTGCTGGCTGTGTCTGTGTCATGATGGTGAAGCCGAGGACAGTGACCCGCCGTTAGTTCGCGGAAAAAGAGAGGGAACAACCGGCATTAATTTAAGTGTGAAACTAAGTTAATATCAGCTGTTAAAAACAAAGAACAAACATGGATAAGAAATGGTGGCTCAGTGAGGCAGAAAAAGAAAGGCCAAGAACGAAAAGCAAGTTAGAGAAATTGAAATAAGGAAAAACATACAGAATATCTCAACTTTTTTCAAAAGTCAGCTTGCTAGCAAAGAGCATTGCGATGATGCTAAAATGGATAGCGAAGAGGACGGTAATGTTGACGCAGCAGTCACCAACTTTTATAGTTCTCTTCATCAATTTGAACCAGACCAGCATCCAAGAGGCCAATTTTTGGCCAGGGGCCTCTGCCTTCTTAATCCGTGCTTGCGCTGGTTATGTGACTGAAATCTATGAATGGTTTACAGTGAGAAGGCAGACTCAGAGGGCAGAACAAATACCTAGCTGTGGGAGTGTCACCCACCTGGGGGAGGGGTTACTGCCCTTTGTGATGTCATGAAGAGAAAATCTCCAAACACACATTTTCTGAAAAGTGGAGCAGGCAAAAGACGGAGAGGATGGACTTTTCTCATAATTGGGGGATTTGTAGACAGACTAGGGACACATATCAGTGTTAGAAACACTGGAGAAGTGTTTTACATAATATGTGAACAAAATATTCAACAGAGCCAAGTAATATGTATCAATAATAAGACTGATTTGTCAGCTAGCATATCAGCTCTGGTTTATATGTCAACCTTTTCCACCCATCAGTGAGCTACAACATAAATAAGTCACAGTTCAAATCTGCCGCTTACTGAACTGCATTTCATCTTAGAAGTTGCCCTTTTACAAACATGTTTTATTGCAACATCAGACTTTTGGAGCTTTCAAGAACCAAGCTAATTTGTTGACGATTAATTTTTTCAGGTGCGGTCAGAAATAGCAATAAAGTCACAGATATCCGGAAGTGGCACCAGTGTAAGATATTTTTATTTAATTTTGTCATTTTTCAAGCTGATGGAAATATTGGGGTTACTAATTTCTTTGTTTACAATTATTCTTGTTTAGAGCACCAGTGCTGGAAACTCATCGAGTGCATTTGGATTTCTCCAGCTCTGGAGACGAGGAAGAGGTAAAGCAGTAATTTCAAAAAAAGAGAAAAAAGCTCTGTCTCAATGCTTCTGTAGTGTTTTCACAATGCCTCAGTTCGGTCAAAAGCCACGGTCGGAAACTAAACTTTTTTCGCTGTATTGTCCGTCTATCCTATTCTTGAGTGGTGATATCTAGTAGCAGCTGGAACGAATATCTTTAAATTGACTGAATGGACTCAAATGATGACCTTATCTGCTTTGGTAGAAGTTCAATAGTTATATCTCAAGTAGAGTTACGCTAAGAATTACAAAACTATACAAAGGATCAGCAGCATAAAATGATAAAGTGAAGACATTATGTCAGGTACATTTTTAGGGCCCAAGCACACACTGTAGGGTGCAAGGACCTATTGAAACTGTAGGAGTTGTTGTTATTCTTGTCACAAATAAATCGCTTATTGAGAGCTTCAAAATGCTGAAACTTTGCACAAATTCAAGAAAGCATAAAATGTACGTATGATAGTGTTTTCGTACGTGTGATGCAAAGTGGCTTGGCAGCGCCCCCTAAAGTACAGCCCCTGAATTGCATTTAGTCTACATGTATGAACATTGGTACCCATATAACTCATGTCTAGACCTACAAAAAATATATTATGACCATAGTGACAAATGTACAGTAAGTCCACTGAGTCCAGTACAACGTCCATTTTTGGCGATTCACAGGGAGTTTTATCTTACCTGGTACATATTTAATTCTGTTATCCAATGTTTACACCCATGAGAACAACATGTGTAAACTACAACTTAACTGATTGATAGCGGCATACACCTGTGAGGTGTTCCTTTACATTAATTACCCACAAACAGGGCTGAAATTAAACAATACTTGGATAGATATTCAGAAAGTTTTGTATTTTAAAGTTCATTTCCAAATACTGTGTTGGGGCCCTGTAGCCAATAAGCAGGTTAAGGTGTTTTTCTGATCCAGTGAAATATCTCAACGTGTATCAGAGAGACTGCCCAAATTGTGGCACACCTTTATTCATATTTTTCAGTATAGCTACTCTGTTTATTCATTTAGTGCAACCAACTGGTGACATTTTTTCCGGCCAACTTTCGGTTTATAGTCATCTGCTTTAAACAACTAAAGACAATATGATGTGTTTCCACAGGTCCACAAGCCAGCACAGCACTCGGTAGTGATTATATCAAGAGCGCTCTCTCTCTCTCCCAAAGTGCAGCAGGTCGACAGACATGGGCCGCTTTACAAAGCAAGATCAAATTCATGATTTTTGATTCCATTAGTTTAGTGGTATCCTGATTTTGTGCATAGCTAAATATTCTTCCCTTGGTAAATGTATAATTGAGTAGTCACTACCTTTGCATTGC